AGCGCTGTATTTCGCATCTTGTGTTGATGAGAATGAAACATGGCTACCGCTGTTGGAGAAGGCTTACGCCAAAGGTATGCCCGATTTCCGCCAGCCGCGGTCGTTTGGAGTATGTTTGAGATTACTAACGAGCTTGCAGTGCACGGAGACTACGATGCCATTGCCGGCGGCTGCAGCGGCGAAGCGGTGGAAGACCTGACAGGGGGCGTTACAACGAAGATTCTTACCGATCGCGTCCTGAGTAAGAAACGACTATGGGCAGAGTTACTGCAAGCCGGCAAAGAGTTTCTATTCTCAGCCTCCTCGCCTGGCATGGATGGAGATGACTCGGACGCTCGAAGGGGGCTTGCCCTGAGCCACGCTTATTCGATATTGAAGGCAGTTGATGCTGAGGGTGAGGACGGTACCAAATACCAACTTGTGTTGATACGTAACCCTTGGGGCAAACGAGTCCATGCCGGCATGGGCGAGTGGACTGGACCCTGGTCCGACGGGTCTCGGGAATGGACGGCATACTGGATGGACAAGTTAGGCCACAAATTTGGAGATGACGGCCTGTTCTGGATGTCGTATGAAGATCTGCTCAAGAGGTTCGATCTTCTTGACCGCACGCGGCTCTTCAACGAGGAATGGACTGTAGTGCAGCGTTGGACGAGCGTACCGGTCGCATGGGTTACTGGCTATGTGAACACAAAGTTCTCGGTGGAAATCAAGAAATCTGGGCCGACCGTCTTTGTCCTATGTCAGGTAAGTCGCAAGGCATTATTCGTCGTCAACATACTGACTCTTCATAGCTGGATGAGCGCTACTTTAAGGGTCTAGAAGGCAAATATGACTTCGACTTGCACTTCATATTGCAAGAGCAGGGTTCTGCAGCAGGCGACTACATCATACGCGCTCGAGGTGCTTGGTTTGGCAACCGTAGTATCTCCGCCGAAGTTGACCTTGAAGCCGGAGTATACGAGGTCTTGCCAAAGATCGAAGCGTCAAGAAACAAAGAGGCTCCAGATGTTCCGGAGGTCGTCACCAAGCTGGCAGAACGTAACCCGCAAAAGCTCAGGCAGATTGGTCTCAACTACGATATTGCAAATGCCAAAGGCATCTTCGAACTATCTGAGGAAGAGCAGAAGAAGAAGGAACAGAGAAAGAAAGAGGCGAAAGAGAAGAAGATGAAGAAGAAAGAGGCAAAAGAGAAAGAGAAGGCTGAATTCGAAGCGTGGAGAAAGGAAAAGGCGGAGTTTGAAACGTGGCAGAAGGAAAAGAAAGCCGAGTATGAGGCCTGGAAGAAAGAGAAGAACGACCACGAGATAAAAGAGACTCCTGAAAAGGCGGGCAAGTCGGAGGCAGTACCATTAGACAACGGTTCGCAGCCGGAGCAAACCACTGCGACGGATGCGCCTGAGGATGCTAGCCACGGTACCGAGCAACTCACCTCATCCGACACAGACGACAAGCCAAACGCCCCAGCCAACCTCACAATCCAACTAAAGGACTCCTCAGACAAGACAGAGCCCGCTACAGAGCCCGCACTCGAACCACACGACCCCAGCAACAACAGCGGCGGAGACCACACACCCACCTCCGAAACCTTCCCCAACGAACCCTACTTCAGTCCATCCCAATCCCCCCGACCTTACAGCCCCAACCAACAATTCCCGCCCCCACAACGCTTCCACTCCCAACCACCGCCAGACTTCCGCCGATATCCCCACCCTCGTGGAAACCATGTTTACGGCGGAGCTCCGCCTCCACAAGACGTTCCTCAGGCGCAACAGCCCAAGCCGTGGAATGCGGTCTGTGTATTGGGTCTGAGAGTGTATAGTCAGGATCCAGAAGTGAGTATCAAGTTGGTGAAGCCGAAGGATGATGAGGAATGTGCGATTTTGGATGTTGATGGGGAGACGGCGGCGGGGGCGACGATGTGATTGCGCGCCGCGTCAGTCGTCTGTGTGCGTGTGCGATTACGACAAAGCGCGACAATCTCAGCACGGCGTTTTGATCATTATGGATAAGTGAATGATGCCGTTATTCATGTCTTCATTGCTATTGATATGCAGCTCGCAGGTTCACCATGCTATGTATCGCCCCCATCAAACCGTTCTCTCATCGTCGACTGGTACCCTACTCAGCCAACTTAGCACCGTTCAGAATAACCGCAGCCCTAATGGTTGCGCCATTTCCAACATCAAAAGTGTCGTGCACAGCCATACCCTCCGCACCCATCACATCCTGGAAGCCCACCTGCGCACTTCCAAACTCGACGTCCTTGTTCAGCAGCGCAATCTTGAAAGCGCCAGGGTTCGCAAGCATAGCTGCAGTAAGCGGAATGCGGAACGCCTGGTCGAACGAAGGGTTGAAGATATCAGTGCCGGGAGTGTAGGTCTTGACTGCGGTCTGGAACGTCTTGTCACCCCAGGTAACCTTGACGCTGGGGTTGAGCTCGTCGCGGTTGCCCTGGAGGCCACCGGCGCTGGCAATGAGGACGGTGGCTAGACCGCAGACTTGGCCTTCAGCCTGACCCTGTGCGTTGGCCGAAGAAAGAACCTGTGCGTCGTTGACGAAGTTGAAGAATTTGGCGTGGATCAGGAGACGCGCTTGAGTAGCATCACCCTTGTGCGAGAGCTCCAAATCTTGCGACCCGCCCTTGAGAAGAATCTCCTTGACGCTGGTGGAGCCAATACCAATGTCGTCATCACCCGCCAAGTCATCGTCCTGGATGTCTACGGTGATATCCTGCTCGAAGTCTGAGACCAAGAAGTCGTGGGTCTCGTTCCACTCTGGCTCGTGGTTGTTATCCACAACGCTCGTCTTCCACTCTTCTTCCGCGCCTAATTTGACCTTGACGTAGCAATCTGGTACGTCTTCGAGCTTGACCTTGGATAGAAGCTTCCTCATGGTACTCTTCTTCTCGCCCTTCTTGGGAGCACTAATCCCGGTTGCGCGGGCGACTGTGATGCGGATGATACCGTGGTGGGGCTGGTGGCACTTGAAGTAATCGACGTCGTTCATCATCTTGACGAGGAAGCGGTTGGGGAGTACGGCCATGCTATCGATGATGCCGAGGATGGTCTTGCGGACGGTGCTGTCGATAACAGAGAAGTCGGCAATGTTGGCGGCGTCGGTGAAGTCGAGCTTGAGGCTTGGAGTGTTGAGGAAGGCGACTTGTGCTGCGCCGATCTAGGGCTTGCTTTAGTATAGAACTCCATGCCATGCGAGACGGTTGTAAGGGCTTACCAGTGGGATGATGTTTACTAGAGGGCATAGCAGCACGCTGATTCGGCCCTTCATATGGACCTTCTCAACACCCTGGATACCATGTTAGCTCAGCTGACTAACTTCTTTCATTACATTCAAAACTTACCACTTTAGGCACCATGCTGCCGTCAAGCTCAAAGTCACAGACACCTTCCCAGGTCATGTCCATATCGAGCTTTATGCCGTCATTCTTGGTCTTGTGGACATCGACGTTGGAGAAGCCGATGGGGATGTGACCAAAGTCGATTTTGACAAACTTCAGGTTTTTCAGAGGGCCAGGTAGTGTCGAGGCGAGAATAGGTTCGACGGTGTCTTTAATGATGTTGGAGCCTGCGACGCAGATGTTCGGCCAGAGGTTCTTGACAATGTCGTTGAGGAAGCCTGGTACATGCGAGTTAGCATGTTTCGTGCCCAAAGTCGGTATCAATGAGCGAGCGTGCGTCCATCGCGGCATTGATCATTGATCACATCGACATTCGGCGGACGAAGGCTTGGAAGTGGCATTTACCAGCTGGTTCAGCGCCACCAGAGGCTGTCAACGCTTCCACGAGAGATGCGGGCGCCTGGTTAGCCATGATGTGCAGTGAGGATGAACGTCTTTGTATTCGGTTTGCTAGTAGCTGTCGAGCTGGTAGGTCTAGTAGCTCGCAGCGGGCAGTGCGTGTTCAAAGGGTTAGGGAGTTCGTAAAGTAGAGGAGTTTGGTTGAAGGACTGTCAACCAGTTTTGAAGCTCGTCAATTGGAACGCTACACCACGTGTCGTTCCTGTTTGTTGCTACCTGATCTTGGAAGCTCCAGGTTGACGTCACTTCTCAAACACGCTATGCGGCAAGTGCAAAGGTTGAACCCCGCAGTGGCAGTGAAAGCCACACGTCGAAGCCACAGACACGTGTCACGCTTCGCGCTCGCGCACCAGCCACTGTCAACTTCATGCATACCTTAGGTCAGCAATTGCCAATATTTGACTCTGTGAATATGTCTAGCCATTTCCGGTGCTTTAGTTGTTTGCATCTCAAATGCATGTGTAGGGTTGTTCGCATGCTCCAATACGCCACGACTACGCCACACTTTGCTTTTCACCCTTCATGCACGCTTCCCCAGCTGTCACATCGCAATCGGCGATCGTCGCATCACGCACCCAGGCCCGCAGATGCATCGATGGCGTAGTCGCTAATCGCCCAGAAGCAACCGTGAACCCCCTGTGAATATCTCATATCGGTTACCCCGAGCCGTCTCTTGGTGGCTGCCCATGTGTGAACGACGTGCATGAGAAGCCGAGTTGCTTTTACGGGCCGCTGTCAGATCAGAGATGACAAGGGTCCAGGGTCTTCGGTTTCATGGAACCGTGCTATATCACGAGAACGCCTGATATACCGGGTGGCTTGAGCTATATCTGGAGGTCGGCATGGGGTACTGTTGCCGAACTTTCTCAAATCTCGTTACGACTGCCGAGCATCTGTTGCGTATACCCATGTTTAAAGGCTTATGCCTGACACCGCATTTGGATCTTCTACCGAGCTCAATACGCAAGATGAGAGATAAGCGAAGGAAGGCGGGGAAACGGTTCTTGGGCCGAGGACGTGGTGCGATCGATCTCTTGCATGTAAATGAATGAAGCGGCGCAGGAGATTTCGACAATGTGTCATATTGTGGGATTCATGCGGAATAACTGGAACAGCAAGCTCTTGGTCTTACACGACGCTCTCGCTACGCCGCAATCCTACAAGAAGCCTGGGTCTTGTTCTTTCACAACGGCGGCAGCGGGTTGCCATTCGGCGTCAGTCCATCACACGCACTCTCTAGTTCGCTTGCCGCGATGCTTTGCGTAACCTCTCCATCATACCCAAGTAACACTCCCTCGCCACTGGACTTGTAGGCTTCCCATCCTAGTTTGGGTAGCCCGTTGACTGGATCCTCCGCGAAAGCAAGGTAGTAGTCTTGCGCTTGCTCGCTTACCTCTCTCTCGAAATCTGTACCGTTGCCTCTCGCAATACCGTAAGTACCGAAGTATAGCGGCAGATCAGACGAATGGAATGCACCCTGCCAGAACCGAGGTGCAATGTTGCTAAAGTTTCCGGCATACAGGTAGCGGAAAGTAGTCGTGTTGGCTGCCATGCGATCGTAGGTTGTCTTCACAATTGGGCAGAGGAAGTTATTAGCAGTTGCAGCGTCGGCCTCAGCCTGTGGTGGCCCGTATGTCGCGTTGTATGCGGGGAAGGCGCTACCCTCGTTGTCCGTTGTGCCAATAATCGCCGGTTTGAGCGTGAAATTTCCGGCCTGAGCGCGCTCCGTGTAGTTGGAGAAGACCGTGACATTGTCGACGACTGGGACGAATCTCACACCCGGCGAAGTACCATTGTCAGAGTATTCCTTCAAGAAGCTCTCAATGTCACTCGATTCGATCTTGCGCAGGCAGTCGATTTCGGCATCGGGGTCGGTCTCGTCACATCCGAAGTGTTGAGCGACGAAGGTGAAGTTCGTTTGCTGGGTATCAGCGGTCGCGATGGATAGGAAAGACGATCCAGAGTTCATGATCAGGCCCGAGACGATAGGGTCTTCGGGATAAGCGAAGTTGTAGTAATCGACAGAGATGGCACCTGCAGACTGGCCCCAGAGCGTGATACGATCTGGATCACCACCGAAGTTGGCTATGTTGTCGCGACTGCAAGATGAGTAAGTTTCTGATCCATGACTTTAAGAAGACTACAGATCCAAGAAGAAGAAATGGGTATAATAAACTGATCCATGACAAGTTCATGTATGCACACTTACATCCACTCTAGAGCGAGACGTTGATCTAGGAAGGCCAGATTCTGTTCGTCATCGGCAAGGGCTTTGGCATTGGGAAAGCCAAAGATGTTCAAACGGTAGCTGTGGTGTTGGTAAGACATGTGTTGGGTCATATGGATTGAGCTAGACTTACTTGATCCCAACGACAATGTGCTTTCCTGTTCGTTCCACCCATCTGGCTGGAACCTGGTAGGGCACCGTGGGTCCGCCCGTCACGAAACCTCCACCATGAATCCAGACCAGAACCGGTAACGGCTCCGACTCGTCTTTGTCGGTCTCACAGGTAGACAAAGGAGCCCAGATGTTAAGATTCAGACACTCCTCTGATTGGTAGTCGCGTGGCGAGATGATGAACTCCGGCGCGTCCGTCAGCCAGACATTAGGTGCATCGCCCTCGAACTGGGGGCAAGAAGGGCCTAGGTTGGTTGCTTTGAGCGTCTCGTTCGCTCTGCACTTGGGAGCCGGTGGCAACCAGCGTCGGGCTCCCACAGGCTGTTCGGCAAAGGGTATACCCAAGTACTGTGCGACGTTCGGTGTGATGTCATCTGTAAAGCCTTCAACCGGTCCAGAAGATGTGTCGACGTGCAGAGAGCTGACAGCAGTCACTAATTGAAGTTGACTGAGTCCGAGGAGGAGTGCTGCAGTGAGTGCCATGGTTGATGAATGAGTAGACTGCGGAGGTAGGGATTGGCGTTACCCCATCATGGTTATTTGTACCTTTTCCAGTACCCCAGATTATCACGGATCAACGTCGTCACTAGTCATGTTATAGCTGCATGCACCCCATCGGGGTCTTTAACCGACGAAATTACGAGCAGGTTTTTCACTAGGCTCTTGGATGCTGACATCGCGGTTGTGTTAACCTGGAATGGATGAAGTGTGAGATGTGCAACACTGAGAGATGTTTGCGCTCAGTAGGAACATATGGAAACGCTCATGCATGGCGTAATGGTTGAGAATCCTTCGTTATGAAGAAGCAGTAGGAACAAACTCGGCCGACAATGATCCGGGGCAGGCGCCGTCCCCACACTTCCCCACTTTGTACATCGGTATCGTCACCGAACCGTCGACAATGTTAAGTACGGCATCATCCAGCAGTGGTAAGAGACCTGAATCCAAGCCCTACTCCAATTCCTACTCCAAATTCGCATTCGTCGTTCAGAGATTGAAATGAAAGTCTTAATTACTGGGGCCGGCGGCTTTGTCGGCCAAATTCTGGCAAAGAAACTCATCGAGACAAACACCGCAGATGCACTCATTTTAGCCGACGTTAACCCGCCTCCCAATCCAACATCGTCGCAGAACGTGCAATGCACGTCGGCAGATCTCACATCGCTTTCCGCATGCGAAGACCTCATCGCCCAATCGCCGGATGCCGTGTATATCTTACATGGCATCATGTCGAGTGGTAGCGAAGCAAACCTCGAGCTTGGTCTCAAAGTCAACTTCGAATCTGTACGCCAGCTACTGGATACGATCAGGATCAAGCGACCAGGAATCAAAGTAGTCTTCACCTCTTCCTGCGCAGTGTTTGGTCGGAAAGCAGTAGAAAACGTAGCAACAGAGACGGACATTGTGCCCATGCCGGAGTCGAGCTATGGCACACAGAAACTCATGATTGAGTTCCTTCTCAACGACTATTCGCGACGCGGGCTTATTGACGGACGAGTCGTGCGCCTACCAACTGTTTTCGTAAGAGCAGGCGCACCAACTGCTGCGGCTTCATCCTTCGTCTCTGGCATTGTACGCGAGCCGATCCATGGAAAAGAGTCAGAGCTACCAGTCGACCCCAGCATTGGCATATGGCTTACTTCACCGCGCGCGCTGGCGACAAACCTCGTGCATGCCATTAAAGTTCCGGCGGAAAAGTTTGGGCACTTCCGCCAAGTGCTGTTACCCGGTTACACAGCTACGAGCGGAGAAATCTTGGACGCTTTGGAAAAGGTCGCTGGAAAGGAGACGAGAGCTTTGGTGAAAGAGAAGAGAGACGAGACTACGCAGAGGATCGTATTGAGCTGGCCGGCGAAGTACGATACGGCGAGAGCGAGAGATCTAGGGTTTAGTGAAGACGTTGGGCTCGAACAGACCATTCGTGACTTCATTGACGGCGAAAAGCAAAAGTCATGAACCATAATATTCCTCAACACTTTTGCTTTAGCAAGGGGCAACACACAATTGAAAGCATCGCAAGGAGAGGTCAGAGGTTGTGAAGTCGTATCATTATGTTCATTTCGTTATACTACTGTCAGGACGTCTTTACACCAGACATCTTACTAACTATATACATTATTCCTTTCCTTTTCCACCTGTTCTAACCGTAGACAGGCGACTTGGTGTAGCCGGGGAACTGCTTGAGCAAGTTCTTGTCAAGCGTCATCAACTCTGGGCAGCCAAGAGGTCCGATGAGGCTTCCGATAGCACTGGTGAGGGCGTTGAGGGGTCCGAGAAGAATGTCAGCCTTGCCTTGGGCTGATGCCTGGTAGACAAAGCAGCCAAGGTTGTTGCCCTCGAGAAGAGAAGCGCCGTTGAAGACGCCGCCAGTCAAGTCGGCAACATCAACACCGACGAAAGAGTTGGGAGTACCAGTGTTTCTGAAAGTGTGTTAGTAAGAGTTTTACGCAATGTCAGAGGAGGATGAACGTACCCGCCAATGTCGAGGAACTTGGGGTGGAGAAGAGCAGCGTTGACAGCATCCGCAAGGAAGTAGGTGGTCTCGTAAGGGTACTCAAGAGCACGACGGTACCAGTTCTCTGGGATCTTCTCTCCGCCCTGGACAGCCCTGTAGTTACCGTTGTTTCCCTCAATACCGAACCACGACTTGAGGACGTCGTATGGGAGGATACCAGTGGGGTCTTGAGCAGTGTGGTTGGCCATGAAGCGGAAGATGAAGGTGTACGCAGCAGGTTGCACCAACACACCAGAGAATGGTCCGTTGAAGAAGTAGGGGTTAGTCTGCTTCTGCACATCGAAGCGGTGGCTTCGGAACTCAGTCAAGCTGTCCAAGGTGACGACACCACCGGGTGAGTAGTCAATCAGCTCTTGGAACTGGCTAGCGACAGTCTTGTAGTTGTTGCCAGCCTGGTAAAGGTCGGGCCTTGTTGGCGAAGCATCGGCTTCGTACTTGTTGTGGGAGCCGCTCAGCCCATTGCCCAGGGTACCTGTGACGCCTGCTTGCGCGATGGATGGCGTGCCACCCATCGACCAGCTAAGAAGGTCACCGTCGAGGGCGCCACCAAGAACTGAGAGGAAGGTCGACAGGACGGGGCCCATGCCTACCACCTTTTGGGTGGCTTCGATGTATTGTGCAACAGTGGCGTATCCATTGTGGGGTAGGTAGTTCTTTAACGTGTTAGTATCGTCAACTAAGTAGGACACAGTGGAGGACTTACGTGGTTGGCGAAAGCGTTAAGACCAGGGCAAGGTCCTCGGAGGTCATCCGCTCCTGGAGCAACGTATTCGTGGCCGCTACCCTTGGAGATGTTGATGTACTGGGCCTTTGCGTCGAATTTAGGCACTGGCTCAAAGATGGCTGTTGCAGCACCTGCACCACCTTGACGGCCTTGCAGTTTCACCAGTCTCGCGGCCTCCTCGGCGCGCTTCAGGAGCTCGGGATCATGACCAGCAGCGTCCAAGATGGCAGTTGGCCAAGCGCTGACAAGGGGCGCCGCGGCGATCAAAGCTAATTGAAGAGAAGAGAAGTGCATGTTTGTGATTGATGAGAAGACTTGATGCTGGCAATGAAACATAGACCAGATGGGTCGGGCATGCTATATACCAACCTGCAGGTACGTACCCAACATCGCCATCACGTTTGCTGTCACCCATAGTCTGCATGACGCGCATCGGCGACGTGAGCATGGCCGCGGTTGACCTGGTCGTTCAACAAAGACCCCGCTGTCGATCTCTTGGTCGATAGTACACAACGGGCGACGGCCATCTCCAAGGACGCTTTGGGCTGCACGGGAGCAGGTGGAGATGACAACCACCCGCCTGTGATTCGTGAACTGCTCTCGATCGGAACCTTAGGCGCCAGACTATTACCTATGGATCCGGGGTAGTGCCCGAGGAAGAAAGGTCAGATGGGGAGAAAGTGGGATTGTGGCCAATATCAAGCAACCGCCACCCGCGCCGAACAGGAGGCACCTGCGAGAGTTATGATACTAGCCGTCCTCAAAGGTCTAAGACCTGGCTGAAGTTGGTATGCACGATGCGGTAGTTGGCGGCACTTACCAGGGGTACCCTCCGGATGTTAGCGTGCCCGAACCAACAGGATCAAAGCCCGTACCCAATTATGGAGAACGGTCAGCTTCCCGTATACCAAAGCATCGTGAGATCTGCACAACGCTACTTCCGATGCAACTTAGACACCCCTGAAGGAAATTTATCAAAAGACGGGCAGCAAAATATTTGGAAAGTTGCCTCGGTCAAAGCGCCTTGGGCCAATGACGGCGATGTTGATGGTAAACTCTCTGGTCTCCTAGGCTGCCAAGATCATACGTCACAGACGCACTTGATCGATCTTGCAGTGTGCCAACTGTATACTAATTTTCTTGGGTCGCAAATGGAGGCGCTGCTGCGGACGCATGTGGCTGTGAAGTGTAGCACTTTGCACAAAAACCGAGGAGATGCCCAGGTGTGGAGGCACGCGATGTTACCGGCAGAGATCGGCATGGAGCCTTTCATCCACTGCTCCCATCTCCGCTACCAAGATTTGTTTGCGCAGGGCATTTTCCCCGTACTTTACTTTTTCCATCTCAAGATCTAGACACACTAGTACCTGTCGTTCACCCTGGCGCTACATACCTAGGTGGAACTTTCGCATTCGTTAGGTCTACTGCAGCCGATATTTTCCGTCAGGAGTGTCATCACGCCAACATCGCCGGTACTCGTGGGATTACTGGGAAGCACTATAGAAGCAGACGTGTGATAGATGTCTCACCGTAGCGTGCGCTTTGATCGAGCACAAGTGCATGGCCAATCACATCCTCAAGCTCAGTTCCTCACAACCGACCATTGGAATAGAGCACCATGCTGCCGGTAAACACCAATGCTGAGCAGGTTCAAGGTACCATAGTATCCACTTGAAAGACTTGCAAAGCTGTGCCTAGGCCTTTCACGATGGGTGTGGAAGTTACGATTGGGTTTGGCGGAAGCGTCAAAGCTGTCCTGGCAGCAGTGCGACAGTTGAAGTTCTCAGTAGCACTTGACATTGATGCTAATGTTATTTTTTCATCGCACGTAATATGGCATTCTCCGCAACCAGTGTACGTGACGAGGCTCAAATTTGCATATCCGGCACTCTCTGGTGACATCAACCATTTAGGAGGAAAGTTTACACAGGGAAACAAAGACGGACGCATGTTCTTCGGATACCGAAGCTGTTATGTATGGATGAGATGTTTATGCCAGGACAATCTATGGACAGCTCTTTGCTTCCGTGTATGCTGCCCGGAAGCTCACCAAGGCCGTTACTGCACTCATCAACGAGCTTGACAGACTTTGCTGCACCTTTGATAAGGCTCTGACTAAGTACACGTTCCGAACTGCGGCTGGCAACCCCACGACAGCCTACAGTAGTCAAGTTCATCATTACCACACCACCCATAGCTTGAACAGCATCTCCCGAAAGTACTGCCCGTACAAGTCTGGCCATTCCCATCTGCTCCACATCGTCCGCCAGTGCTGACGTTGGTCGGAACGGGCGCTGCAGATGAAGTCCGACTAGTCGTTGGTGTTGGCGTTGGTGTGGAAGTAGTTGTCGGTGTGGGCGACTGTTGAGTCGAGGAGCTGCTGGGAGCAGGGGCCGGCGCAGAAGAAGAGCCTGGCGGCGGTGCCACGCCACCGCAAGTCCCAAAGCCAAGACGACAACCAGTGCCGCAGAAGTCTACGGAATTACCACAATAGTAGTACTCCGAGCAGCAGCTTCCGAAGGCGGAGCCGGCACACGTGGTCGCGTTTCCGCATTGTCCATTCGTCGATGGGATGAGCGTGCCGGATGGGAGTGGTGGGAGAGCAGATGAGCTCGAGGGGGCAGGGACTGAGCTTGTGGGTGGCAGTGGGGTGGGAGTCGGTGTGGGCGTAGGTGTTGTGGTAGGCTCTGGTGCTGCATCACCGCATCTTCCGAAGTCAGGCTGACATCCAACTATGACTCCGCAGTGCTAAAGAGACCCCCGTAAGCTTGCGTGAAATCGAGACGTTGGGATCGCGCATACCTCGAACTCAGTCCCACAGTAGCCATAACTTGAGCAGCATTGGTTACCACCGCATCTCTGGTTACTGAAATCAGCACCACAGCGTCCCGCCGCTTGTCGAGGGAACAAGTAGTGAAGAGAGCGAGAGTAGAGGTTTGGCGTTGTAGTGTTACGCTTCTCAAGATGTTGCGCAACGGTATCTTCGATGCCCTCTGATACGTGAAGAGGTCCTCGTGGATGCACAACGAGTGTGGTTTTGATTGACGGGTCAGCTAGAGCTGAAACTCTGGAGAGGCTCAAAGCTCCTGCCAGGCTGATCAGTCTCCAATGCATGGTAGACTTTCTGCAAAGGTCGATGAGATACCAGGTAAACCAAACATTTCCAGTGAGCAAACCGAGGTATTAATCACACTTCCACATGGCCTCACGGAAGCTAGGGACAGAAAGCCAGGCGACAATGAAAAACATGCCCACTCAATATAGCAGATAGGTTTCCTGAGTACTTGGCCGCGTGCATGTGAGGCTCCTTCGAGTCTGAGAATATGCAGCAGACCAATAAAAGACAGTGCCAAACGCGTCTTCCAAATTGAAACTGTAAGCTTTGATGGTCGTACAAGTGATTACAGATATCCACGTTATTGTTAATATGGAGGCCAACCGACGGGTATCTTTGTGGGGCCTGTTGCGATTGCGCATGTGTGGGAGACCATCCGAGAATATCATTTTTGAAGGAATTGAGAAGTTGTGGGGGGTATTGAGGTTAATGTGTGCATTCCAATTGCTCTCTGGCGTCATGGCCCGGTACGCGGATCCAGCTGTCATTGCGTCGTCCAGTATGGTCGTACTCGTAGCCGCAAAGAAGCATGGTGGATGCTCCGTGCAACCAAGCGAGTGGTGTTGTGGGGCATCTGAAGCATTTCCCGGCACATGCCCACG